AAGAGAAGAGAAGAGAAGAGAAGAGAAGAGAAGAGAAGAGAAGAGAAACACGCCCTGTAACTGACCTCCTTATGGAGATCCTCAGGAACTCTCTAGTGTACTCACTCTGTGAAAAGCTCTTCTTTTGCTTGGGAATAAGTTAGTTGTGTTTTGTCTCATTACTCAGCTCAGTTTTTATATTAACAAACAAACAAAAATCCTAAAATTTTGGTGTATGTTGCTTTTACCAGAACAAATATATTATTTATAGAGAGAAGAAATATGAAGACAGTGGTTGACCATCAGGGCAGTAAGATAGCCCTCTGCTTGGTACTTCATAGCTTTAACACAGAGCAAATGATCTAGAAGTCTCCACTCAAGGGAAGAGCCACCTGTAGAGTTTGACCTCTTGAGGTGTGGGAACTTTTTCGCCTTTATTGTCCCAATTCCCCACACACAGATATTCACTAATTAATTAAACATCACTCATTATTGAAAGATTCAATTATTTTTATTACCTCACACCAAAGCTTTCCCTAAAACTTTGGGTCATTAAATAATAATGGTTACCATTTTTTTTCACAGCGCTTCTGTTAGGACACACTTTACCTAATGTAATTCTTGTAAGAACCCTTAGAGGCAAAGATTAGAGTGATGAATAAAAGCGATTAAGTAATTTGCCCGAGTTCAAAACGCTGGTAAATGATGGAACTAGCTTTCAAATCGAGATCTTTTTGATTTTTAGATAAAAGTTAAAATAAGTTTTAAAAGAATGATCTTCACTGGTTAACTTTCAATGAATCAGAACATCCATTTAAACACAACTCTCCAGGCTCCAAAACTGTGACCTCAAGTAAACCAACCAGCTTGGCACAGCTGAAAATGTAGTGCACAGGAACTGGCCTCGCCTCCCTGAGTCCAGTGCTGAGCCACCCACTTGCTCCTCACAGCAAGGAGGTGCGTCTTTTTCATCTGGCCCTGGGGATAAAATGACAGCACATTCACAGCGTCCCTACCTCGGCGCTCACTTTCACATGCACACACAATGCCCACAAATGAGTTCCTCTGCAAAAGTGGCCCTTCCCCAGCCAGGTGGCTTAGTGCAAGCTGGAGAAGATGGTCACAAACATTGTACATCTAGTACAGAGCTGTTGGCTGGTACCTCTTATCACTTTTTGAACATCTGAAATGAAAGGCTGTAATTAGAGCCCACGCAGGCAATCCTAGCACAACAAACTCTGTCAGCCTTTGCTGCTTTTCCCCTTGTGCACCCTTAGGTCTCTGCTACTCTGTATCAACCTCTGCCCTAATCTATCCCTGTCAAAAGTGATAACTCACTAACCAAGTCTGCCGTTTGATTGGATTAAACACATCCTGAGGATGTAGATGGGCAGACTCAGTGTTAATTCATTTACAGAAATTGAAGGTTTGACTCCACTCCTAAAGCAATGGACATGTGATCAGGAAACTGGCAGGATGGTTCATTCTAAACAGGCAGTAGTTTCTAGTGTCTGCTGAGGTTAAGGACTCATTCCTAGGGCAGCAATCACAGAAGTATGGGGAGCCTGATAAACCCCCAAGCCTTCACCAGAATCCTTTCACAAGCATTAAAGGTATCTTAGTTCCCTACACCCCGATGTCCTCTATGGCATAAAGTAGACTGCTCACTTGGGCCACTTGCAAACATACTCAAATATTCATACGTTATAGTTTCGTGACACGATACAGTTCTTGCTCAAGTCTGATACTGAATGTCCCTCAGAGCTAATATCCTGGTGGTGCAGCCCCCAGCAAGTGGCACTACTGGGAGGAAGTGGAGTCTTTAGGAGGTGGGGCCTAATGAAAGGAAGCACTGCAAGAGAGGGTGCAGGCCTGAGAGGAATACTGGGACTAGAGCTCCTTCTTCTTGATTGCTGGCTCCGAGAGGTGAAACACTTCCTTCTCCATGCTCCCAACATGGTGTGCTACCTCGCTACAGAACAAAGGGCAACAGAGTGACCCTCTGGCACTGAAAACAGGGCCAAGGTAAGCCTTTCCTCTTTTAAGCTATTTGCCTTGGTGGTGGAAGCTAACACACTATTCTCTTAGAAACATTAACATGTACCCAACAGTAAAACTAGTATCACAGAATCACAAGGTACTAAGAAACTTAATAAAATTATTTTCACATATTAAAAAGCCCTTTCACCAAAAATATCTGTATTTTAATTCACTTAAGAGAAATATAAACTGAATCATAAACCACAAATAAAAATTTCGTTTTGCCCTTAAGTATAAAACATATTTGGAGCCACATTTTATTGGCACATCTTAAAATGAATTCAATTTAAAAGTGCTCATTGTTGATAAATAGACAAAAAAAATCAATGCCAGAAAAGTCATCATTAGACTAATAGTGGTAACATTAAAAATCTTGTCACTGAGGTGGAAGCCATGAACAAGCTCTCTGCAGTAGAACCAAGTCTTTCCTCTGGAATTAATACAACAGACCCATAAAAGATTAATCAGAACAAGAATCAATAACTTCTCAAGTGCTAATAAGCACTGCCTTGTTCTGTGATGTGTTGGGCAGTTTATCATGGTTAGCCACATGGAGATTTATGGAAAATCCATAGTTAGAACCAAAGGATGAGGTAATGCACACTTAGTAAATGAATCCCAGCTACATCTACACCTAATACTGTTGAGTCCAGGGCTACAAGACATGCCTTTGATTCCACTACCAACACATAGACATGCACATGCGTGCACACACACACATTTCTAAGGATAAGGAAAGAGTCATATAAGAAATGTCATCAGGGTGATAACTGAGAAACACACAGTGTTCCGCAGAGGAACATCTCCCTGCTTGGTAGTAGACAGTAGAAACATATCCTAAAAATTAACTTTTTTCTACCTTATTTGTTATCCTGGAAACCTTAATTTTTCCTGGATTTTTTATAAATTTATATAAAATACCTCTAGGATCATTTAGGTCTTTATTCTCAATCAATCTGATGGATCTTAAGGTCATGTGAGTGGATGAGTTAATGGGTAACTAATAGTTCATAAATTGTAGATCCAGACCATTAGGTTATCTCACTGAGTTTCATAGTGTGCCATGTTATTAATTAAAAACATCAAATTACATGTTTAGTAAATTTATATTTGAAGCAATATTATGATCACAAAAATAAAGCCTAATCAAATAGATGGGAGCCAATAAATGTTGCCATAAATCTGGGAACATAAAGTAACTGTAAGTAATTACAAACAAGTAAATTCTTGTGGGCAGTCATCTTTTTGAGTGTCAAAGATTAGAAAGTATGAATAATGTAAATAAGATAAATCACTGTGCTCAAGGTTTAAAATGGGGACAGATGAAAAATGTGAAATAGTCCAAATTTTCTTGATTAAAAAAAATAAAGTAAAAAAATAAAAGTTTGCCATAATTACAAACTGGCAGATCATACTTTTGATAGAAATGTGATAGATTATTGACGATGATGACAAATGAGAATTGGAGTTTGTTTTTCCAATCAAAAAGGCCTGACAACTGCAATTTACAACGGTGGCCTGTCTGCAAGACGTGCTGGTGTAACAGCACAGACACTGTGAGATTAACCAATAACTCTCGGATTAGAGTTGGGGCCCGTGCCTGATACTGCTTGCGTGGCTCTCAACCTTAGACTGGATAGGCCCTGGGCCTATGGGAAAACCAAATACTATGGTTCCACTAAGGGAACATAGCAATATAATGACTCTGACAACATTCTGCTATACCCATAAATTAGTGCCTCACTCAGCCATCATCAGAAATTGATGGGAACTACCACAGAGGCTCACAACTGGACAATGTACAGAGTCAGAGAGCTTGTAATCCTCAGTCCTAAATGAGATAGCTCCATCAAATCCTTCCCCCCTAGGGCTCGGGGAACTATGCAGAAGAGGAGGTGGAAAGAGTCTAAAGGGCCAGAGAGAATGGTTGACCTCAAGGAAACAGTGTTTTCCAGGCATGACAGGACTGATGCACTTACGAGCTCACAGGGCTGTGGAAGCATGCATAGGGCCTGCACAGGTTCAAGCCAGATAGAGTCACAGCACTGAGAGAGGGAAGTGGACACAAGCTCCCAACTCTAACACAAGAAGAAGCTATCGGCAAATGGCACCTGTTTGCAATGGAAAAATTAGTTGTCTCCAGTGGAGTTTCACTGAATATATTAACCACACTTAAGGGTAATCCTCATGCCCAGCAGTAAATGGTCAACATAAAACAAATTCAGTGATTATTTTTTTAGACTTTTTGTTTCATATTGCTTTGACTGGCTGGTTTTGTTTTGTTTTGTTTTTGTCTTATTGACCTTCTATTTGTATATTATGGTTTCCAAATTTGTGTTTTTATTGGTTATGTTTGTGTATGTTTCTTGTGGGATTTTTGTTTTTGTTTTTGTTTTTTTTACTTTGACTTTTGTTATCTGTTGGCCTGTTTACTTTCTAAAGGGAGAAAGAGAAAGAAAGGGTGTGGAATTGGTTGGGTCAGGAGATGGAAAGAATCAGAGAAGTCAGGGGAAGGGAATATCAGATCATATGGATTTGTTTTTTCAGTAAAAAGAGAAAAATAATAAATAAATTGGTCTGGTTCATAAGCTTTATTTAACATTGGAAACTACCATGCTTAATTTTACAGACTTCTACACCCACACCTTCATACCCAGTCTGCTCTGTGTCACACATTAAGTTGTCTTGCAGCCTCTTTTGAAGTGTCCTCCAGAAGCCCATTTAGTTTGACAGCTTGACTTGATAGTGTCAATGATGCCAAGCCTCTTTTCATCCATGTTCCATTTTGAAACAAGCCTGGGCAGAGATCTCAGAAGCCAATGGTGTAGACATAAGGCTAAAGGATAAAAGTTCAGCCTACAAAAGCTGGTGAGGACCATGCTGAAGGTCCCCTTTCCCAGCCAGCCCAACTTTGCAGAGTAGGAAGTCTTTGGTGCATAGGAGGACTACACCACGGTCTCTTGGATGCATCTGTCTCCACAGTAAATGTAACAGGTCCACATCACAGGCCTGATGATCTCCCCTGACTGTACTGAACTCATCCAGGGGCCATTGTTGTGGTGTCCAATGGAGATGTCTTTGCACATTGTGAGGAAGGAAGGAAAACTGGTTTGCTTTACAATTGGAAAGACATCCTTCTACAGCTCCCTTGGCAGAGCAGAACCCCACTTCATTCCTGAAACTCTCAGTGTTAAGGCCTCTGGAATTGCTTTCAGGGCAGTAAAAGCTGCTCCCAGTGGCTGGTCCTCAGTGGAGGAGGTCACAAACACCTGAGCTACACAAAGCGCAAAGCGCTGAGCCCTGTGATGTAGAAGGTGGCATTAATAGCTGTGTATTAGTGAGGTCATCCATGATTCTTTATCATTGCACCTATGGATTGGAGCACTCATTTGCATGTAGTTAGTTCCCTACTCACCCAGCAAGATCTGCCTCAACAATTTAATTACCTCAGAAACTGTAACTAATTATTAAAGTATAGTTCAAGGTCACAGCTTGTAATCACAGGATAATTATCTTTACTGTATAAATCACACCATTTTGATGAAATATAAAAGTTACATTGCAAATAAACATCTAATTACACAGCAGGGTGGATGTAATTATTATTAAGTAATCTATCAGAATATGAAATTGTTGCTGGATGTGGTTATAATGATCGGCCTTGTTATTGCCAGAGATTTTGTATGGCTACTTCTGTATTATAAAAGAAAAAAAATTTAAATAGCATGATGTTAAGAAAACAGAAGGCTTTTAGGGTGTCTGTTTGATTTTGAGATCAAAACAAGATCACAATTTTTTTAATCAAATCTCAAACAAAAGTACTTCAGAAGCCCAAGAGAAAAAGATGGGGAAGAACTGAAGAAATAAAACAGATAAAAATGCCTCCCAATTTTCTTGAGATACTGATCCACCCCCAAAAAAAATGTTAGAAACGAAGGAGGAGGGACAGGGAGGGAAAAGAAAAGGAAAATAAATGGAAAGAGGGAAAGAATTGGAAAGAAAAGAAAATCTGAAGTCCGGAAGGCATTGCAATAACAACTAAGGGCGTGTAGTCTCCAACTTAAAGCTGTTCAGTTGTTACAATTTCAGGTACACACACACACACACACACACACACACACACACACACACACACACACGAGAATGTTTACATTCCTACCTCAAGGGAGAACAGACTGTCCCAAGATCATAGTCTCTATGAGAATTACTTACAAAACTGGTGGCTGGAGAGGCAGCTGCTACCACAGCACTGGCTGTTCTTAGAAAGGACACAGGTTTGGTCCCCAGCACTCACATGGCAGCTCCTAACAACCATAACTCCAATTCTAGGTGATCTGATGCTCTCTTCTGACTACCACAGACACCAGGCACCTGTGAAGTTCACATCTACACATGAAAAAAATAAACACATACACACAAAATAAAATAAATAAATGTACAACAATTTTTTAGGACTGTGCATAACTTTAACCCCAGCACTAGGAAGACAGAAGCTGGCAGATCCCAGTGAATCCACCCTTAGCCTGTTCTATACAGCAAGCTCCAGGCCAGCCAAAGCTACACAGCAAGACCCTGTCTCAAAACACAATGACAATAATATAATAAATTATAATAAACTTTAAAAAAATTACTTGCAAAACAAAGCTTGAAGGTCTTCACTTCTACATTTTACAAGGAAGTAATCACATATCCTTTTCCTCATAGATTTGTTCTTCCATAAAGATAAGACAGTATTATAAAAGTAACATAAACATTTGCTGGTACTCATGCTCATTAGTAAATACAAAAGAAATTAAAGGCAATGGACTCATGCAGAGTGGCTGCCTGTCTGTGTACCATTTGGTTGTACTTGTTTTCCCTCTGTTTTCCATCAGTGTTCCCAGTTACTTTTGCTCTTATTCCTCTAATTCTATATGCTAGCTTTCATTCACTGTGGACTCAAATGAGTCTGTTGATTTCTCATACATCTGAGAGCATTCCTTCCTGTATCTTCCTTTACTCCAAAAGCATTATAGCCTGTTACAGACGCTCAATCTTAGGTCACCAGCATTGAGAAGACAGGAGTAAAGTTCAAAAGAAAGAAGGAAGGAAAAAGATTGGGCAAATTAAGACAAACAGGCAAGCAGACAAAGAAGGTTACAGAAGAGAGCTAAAATGGTAGCATCTATTCCCTATGACTCTTTAAATCAACATGGGCAAAGCTAATATGAAACAGCATGCCCAGAGCAAGAAATACATAATATACTACAGTACAATTAAATATGCACCAGAATGACAGCATATAATATATGTATATATACATATATATACATACATAAAGATATGTATTTTAGTGTTTTTATGAGATTCCTAAGTGTGAAAATGAGTGGGTCTCTGTTGTGCCTTCTGGTGGGCTTTTTTTCTTCTGTTGGATGTCTTGTCTAACTTCAGTGTGATAAATTTTGTTTTATTTTGTTATATTATTTTAAAAATAAAGAACCCTTAGCCAAGCTAACTAAAAGGCAGAGAGACACGATCCAAATCAACAAAATCAGAAATTAAAAGGGGGACATAACCACAGACACTGAGGAAATCCAAACAATCATTAGGACTTACTTCAAAAGTCTATATGCCACAAAATTTGAAAATCTAAATGAAATGAACAATTTTCTTGATCGATTCGACTTACCAAAGCTGAATCAGGACCAGGTAAATCAATTAAATAGTCCTCTATCCCCCAAGGAAGTAGAAGGGGTCATCGAAAGTCTCCCATCCAAAAACAGCCCAGGACCAGATGGTTTCAGCACAGAATTCTACCAGACCTTCAAAGAAAAGCCAACTCCAGTTCTCTTCAAACTATTCCACAAAATAAAAACAGAAGAAACATTACCAAACTCATTCTATGAAGCCACAGTCACCTTGGTACCTAAACCGCACAGACCCAACAAAGAAAGAGAATTTCAAACCAATCTCCCTTATGAACATTGATGCAAAAATACTCAACAAAATACTTGCAAACTGAACACAAGAACACATCAAAGATATCATCCACTATGACCAAATAGGCTTCATCCCAGGTATGCAGGGGTGGTTCAATATACGGAAATCCATCAATGTGATCCACCATATTAACAACCTGAAAGAAAGAAACACATGATAATCTCCCTAGATGCTGAAAAAGCATTTGACAAAATCCAACATCCATTCATGTTTAAAGTATTGGAGAGATTAGGGATACAGGGCACATATCTAAACATAGTAAAGGTGATATACAGCAAGCCTATAGCCAACATCAAACTGAACAGAGAGAAACATACAGCAATCCCACTGAAATCAGGGACAAGGCAAGGCTGCCCACTCTCTCCATATTTCTTCAACATAGTTCAGGAAGTCCTTGATAGCGCAATAAGACAGTTGAAGGAGATCAAGGGGATACAAATTGGAAAGGAAGAAATCAAATTATCATTATTTGCAGATGATATGATAGTATATGTGAGTGACCCCAAAAACTCTACCAGGGAACTCCTACAACTGATAAACACCTTCAGCAAAGTGGCAGGATACAAAATTAACTCAAAAAAATCAGTAGCCCTCCTGTATACAAAACACAAAAGGGCTGAGAAAGAAATTAGGAAACAACACCCTTCACAATAGCCACAAAGGACATAAAGTACTTTGGAGTAACCCTAACCAAGCAAGTCAAAGAATTATGTGAAGAAAAAAAATTTCCAGTCTCTGAAGAAAGAATCAGAAGAAGATATCAGAAGATGGAAAGATCTGCCATGCTCATGGCTTGGCAGGATTAACATAGTCAAAATGGCCATCTTACCAAAAGCAATCTACAAATTCAATGAGATTCCCATCAGATTGCCAACACAATTTTTTACAGACCTGAAAAGAAAAATCCTCAACTTCATATGAAATAACAAGAAACCCAGAATTGCTAAAACAATCCTCTACAATAAAAGATCTTCTGGAGGTATCTCCATCCCTGATCTTAAGCTATACTATAGAGCAACAGTTATAAAAACTGCATGGTACTGGCATAGAAACAGAATGGTGGATCAATGGAACCGAACAGAGGACCCAGAAATAAACACACATACTTATGGACACCTGATCTTTGACAAAGATGCCAAAACCATACAATGGAGAAAAGATAGCATCTTCAACAAATGGTGCTGGTCTAACTAGATGTCTACATGTAGAAAAATGCAAATAGATCCATACTTATCATCCTGCACATAACTAAAGTCCAAGTGGATCAAAGACCTCAACATAAAACGAGACACACTAAATTGCTTAGAAGAAAAAGTGGGGAAGAGCCTTGAACTCATTGGAGACAACTTGTTGAACAGAACACCAACAGCACAGGCTCTAAGAGCAACAACCAATAAATGGGACCTCATGAAACTGAAAAGCTTCTGTAAATCAAAGGACACCATCATCAAAACAAAACGACTGCCTACAGATTGGGAAAGAATCTTCACCAACCCTTTATCTGACAGAGGACTAATATCCAGTATATATAAAGAACTAAAGAAGCTGAAAAACAGCAAACCAAGTAATCCAATTAAAAAATGGGAAACAGAGCTAAACAGAGAACTCTCTGTAGAGGAATATCGAATGGCAGAGAAACACTTAAAGAAATGCTCAACGTCATTAGCCATTAGAAAAATGCCAATCAAAATGACCCTGAGATTTCACCTTACACCCATCAGAATGGCCAAGATGAAAAACTCAAGTGACAACACATGCTGGAGAGGCTGTGGAAAAAGGGGAACCCTACTCCACTGCTGGTGGGAATGTAAACTTGTACAACCACTCTGGAAAGCAATCTGGTGCTTTCTCAGACAACTAGGAATAGTGCTTCCTCAAGATCCAGCCATACCACTCCTAGGCATATATCCAAAAGAGGCTCAAGTACACAATAAGGACATTTGCTCAACCATGTTTGTAGTAGCCTTATTTGTAATAGCCAGAAGCTGGAAACAGCCCAGATGCCCCTCAAAAGAAGAATGGATGCAGAAATTGTGGTACATCACATCTACACAATGGAGTATTACTCAGCAATGAAAAATAAAGAAATCATGAAATTTTCGGGTAAATGGTGGGACCTGGAAAGGATCATCCTGAGTGAGCTATCCCAGAAGCAGAAAGACACACACGGTATATACTCACTCATATAGACATATAATATAGGATAAACCTACTAAAATCTGTACATCTAAAGAAACTAATCAAGAGAGAGGACCCTGACTAAACGCTCAATCCCCATCCCAAAAGGCAAAGAGGCTGGACATCAGAAGAAGAAGAAAACAGGAAACAACCTAGGAACCTGCCACAGAGGGCCTCTGAAAGCCTCTGCCCTGCAGACTATCAAAGCAGACACTGAGACTTATGGCCAACTGTTGGGCAAAGTGCATGGAATCTTACGTAAGAAGTGGGAAACAGTAAGAGCTGGAGATGTTGGGAACCACAAAAGGAGAGCAACAGAATCAGAAAATTTGAACACAGGGAACTTCCCACAGACTCATACTCCAACCAAGTACCGGGCATAGAGATAACCTAGAACCCCTGCACAGAAGTAGCACATGGCAGTTCAGTGTCCAAGTGGGTTCCACAGTAATGGGAAGAGGGACTGCCTCTGACATAATCTGATTGGCCTGCTCTTTGATCACCTCCCCCTGAGGGGGGAGAAGCTTTACCAGGCCACAGAAGATGACAATGCAGCCACTCCTGATGTGATCTGATAGACTAAGATCAGAAGGAAGGAGAGGAGGACCTCCCCTATCAGTGGACTTGGGGAGGGGCATGTGTGAAGAAGGGGGAGGGAAGGTGGGATCAGGACGGGAAAAATTAAGAAGGAAGGAAAGAAAAGAAAAGACGAAAGGAATACCTAGCCACTGGAATAAAGTTTAACAACTGAACTGTCCACCAGGAGAGGGAAAATCAGTTTTCTCTAATAGAATGACACTGGATATATCAACTACTCCAGGACAGGCCTCATGTACAGGAATAGTTAACTAACATATAATGGCGTCACAGTTTATTTGTTTCTTTGTTTGTATGCTATTATTTGGTTTCATTTTGTTTTTGTGGTTGAGTTTTTGTTTGTTTGTTTGTTTTTTGAGAAAAAAAATTAAAGTTGGGTAGGTAGGGAAGGCAAGGGGATCTGGAAGGACTTCAGGGGGGAAGAATATTATCAAATATATTTAAATTTAAAGCTTGTCTTAAGTAATAAAATATAATTTAAAATATATCTAAAAATACAATTTAAAAGTCCTCCTTATTTCAGATGAAAGTTGAAGCATTTATAACCAGAGCTGGTTATTGTGTTTCCTCTCTTTGTACCTGATTCAGCCTTTTGTCTTGTTTTTGCAGTGCTGGCAGCTAAAACCACAGGGCTTATGCATGCCAGCAAGCACTTTACCAGTGAGCTATATCCAAAGCTTACCAAAGTTAGTCCAGTTTTCCAGTTCTCATCAATTCTTAAACTTTCTTCTTTAAGGTTAATTTTTATTTCTTGTTCTGGTCATGGTATTTATTGAAGCAATAGAAGGAAAACTAGAACATGCTTTCATGTAAAGATACTTAGATCTTAGATAAGATAAAAGTACTTGGCTATACAACAGACTTAAATTTGTGTTTGTTTAGGCCAGGCACAGTATAATGTATAAGATCTGATTTATCAATAAAGTGATCAATACAAAGTCTGATTTGACAACGCCAAGAAACTTTTTTTATATTTTTTTATTTTTTATTAATTACAGTTTATTCACTTTGTATCCCCCCATAAGCCCCTCCCTCCTCCCTTCCCAGCCCCCCTCCCTTCCCCTTCTTCTCGCTTGTCCCCCCAAGTCCACTGATAGGGGAGGTCCTCCTCTCCTTCCTTCTGATCTTAGTCTATCAGATCCCATCAGGAATGGCTGCATTGTCATCTTCTGTGGCCTGGTAAGGCTGCTCTCCCCTCAGGGGGAGGTGATCAAAGAACAGGCCTATCAGATTATGTCAGAGGCAGTCCCTCTTCCCATTACTATGGAACCCACTTGGATACTACGCTGTCATGGACTACATCTGTGCAAGGGTTCTAGGTTATCTCCATGCATGTTCCTTGGAATATGAGTCCCTGGGGAGACCCCTGTGTTCAAATTTTCTGATTCTGTTGCTCTTCTTGTAGGGTTCCTGTCCTCTCCAAATCTTACTATTTCCCACTTCTTACATAAGATTCCATGCACTTTGCCCAACAGTTGGCCTTAAGTCTCAGCGTCTGCTTTGATAGTCTGTAGGGCAGAGCCTTTCAGAGGCCCTCTGTGGCAGGTTCCTAGGTTGTTTCCTATTTTCTTCTTCTTCTGATGTCTATCCTCTTTGCCTTTCGGGATGGGGATTGAGCTTTTTAGTCAGGGTCCTCTCTCTTGATTAGTTTCTTTAGATGTTCAGGTTTTTAGTAGGTTTATCCTATGTTATATGTCTATATGAGTGAGTATATACCGTGTGTGTCTTTCTGCTTCTGGGACAGCTCACTCAGTATGATCCTTTCCAGGTCCCACCATTTACCTGCAAATTTCATGATTTCCTTATTTTTCATTGCAGAGTAATACTCCATTGTGTAGATGTACCACAATTTCTGCATCCATTCTTCATTTGAGGGGCATCTGGGCTGCTTCCAACTTCTGGCTGTTACAAATAACGCTGCTACAAACATGGTTGAGCAAATGTCCTTATTGTGTACTTTAGTACCTTTTGGATATATGCCTAGGAGTGGTATGGCTGGATCTTGAGGAAGCACTCTTCCTAGTTGTCTGAGAAAGCGCCAGATTGCTTTCCAGAGTGGTTGTACGAGTTTACATTCCCACCAGCAGTGGAGGAGGGTTCCCCTTTCTCCACAGCCTCCCCAGCATGTGTTGTCCCTTGAGTTTTTCATCTTGGCCATTCTGATGGGTGTGAGGTAAAATCTATCTCAGGGTGGTTTTGATTTGCATTTCCCGAATGGCTAATGATGCCGGTTGTGGTGGGGCCAAGAAACTTTTTCAATGACTTTTGCTTTTCATTCTTTCCACAATACGTTTCTGACATTTAGAAAATCTGTATTGACTAGCTAGATTTCTCTTATTCAACTTCTAATTATACAAACTACAGTGATATAACTAAAAGAAAAGTGAGTTCTAACATTAAAAATACACAATTTTTACTTAACCAATAGTATTTTAAAGAATGAGGCCTGTCTTGAGGTTTCTATTTCTGCAAAGAGATACCATAAATTTCTTATAAAGTTAAACATTTAATTGGGGCTGGCTTATAGTTTTAGAGGGTTAATTCATGGCAAGATGCATGGTAGGACATAGGCAGACATGATATTGGAGAAGGTGCGAACATTTCCACACCTTGATCCGAAGGCCAAAGGAAAGAACTTGAGCTTCTGAGACCTCAAATCCTGCCTCTTGTCACAGACTTCCTCCAACAAGGCCACACTTCCTAATAGCCACTCCCTATGGGCCACGCATTCAAACACATAAGTCTATGGGGCTATTCCTATTCAAACCACCACAAGGCCCAAGTAAAATTGTTGAATTGTTCCATGACACCTGATCTTATTCCTACTATCTGATATTATCAAGTCAAAACAACAGTTAGGTTCATAAAACATGAAAATACAGTTTTAAGGGAGAAAACTACTGCATCTGCTTGAAAATACCAAGTGCAAAATTTAGAATTAAATAATGCCAACACCACTCCTCTGTTTGGCAGTACCTACATTAAAATTACAACTAGCCTAGAAAAAACTACTGTTATATTTACTGAATCACTACCTGTAGAATTTTCATTTCAGTTATCTATTTGCAATTATTTCCCCCCACAGACATGACAATCTTCCTTCTTCCAAATGTAGCATAGCAGATTTTCCCACTATTATATTTATGAATTATTCATGCAAACAGGAATGGAACACAAAGCCTAATAAAGAAGATCCTGATACTCTATGCACCACTTCACACCTGGATTCCAAGAATGGACATTGGAGCTGAAGTATTCTAATTTTCTTTTTGTTTCTTTTTTTTTTCAATTTATTTCAATTTCATATTATGAGAATGACAAAAGTTACTCTACTAATCATTTCTTGTACTTATTTCAAAGTATGAATGCCTGAGTTCATTTTTATTTTGTGGTACCATTTGCAAATCTACTGTTGTGTTTAAAACATTTTATCTTGTTACAGTGAACTTATTTCTCTTTCCAAATATGGTAGTTTACTAGTAATATATCCAGAATCTGAAACTGTGTGTGTATGTGTGTGTAGGTCATTCATGCACACTACCTATTTGACAGTATATACACATTAGTGCAAGTACCTTCAGAAGCAAGAGACACCAGATCCCCTGGAGCTGGAGCTACAGGTTTGCCACCTGATGTGAATGACAGGAGCTGAATTCAAGGTATTCTGGAAAAGCAATGCTTTAACTCTGAACCATCTCTCCAGCCCCGACTCTCATCTTTTCCATGAAATATGTTTTGACCATGATAATATAATTTGAACAATTTCTTTTAGATATTATAGAACTTGTTACCTTCATATATTCAATATTGCAGATATACATATTTTTACACAATGATTTCAGCCTTTGTTTCCTTTTTTTACCTGTTGTGTTTTGTTGCTTCTGTTTGGCTCAATGAAAAG